TCTCCCACTCCCCCTGCTTGTGTTCCCTCTCTCGCTGTGTCTCTCTCTGTCAAATAAATGAATAAAATCTTTAAAAAAAAAAAAAAAGAAAGCCCCAAAATTAGAAATTTAAGAAATTAGATACGACGAATTGCTCCACATAAGACCAAGTGATTATCATTAAAGAGCCAGCAGCCACAGCAATAATCTGAGATATTTAAAAACAGAATCAAGCGGCACCTGGGTGGCTCAGTCTGTTAAGCGTCTGCCTTCAGCTCAGGTCATGATCCCAGGGTCCTGGGATTGAGCCCCACATTGGGCTCCCTGCTCACCTCTCCCTCTCCCCCCTGCTTGTGCTCCCTCTTGCTATCTCTCAAATAAATAAAATCTTCAAAAATAAATAAATAAAAATAAAATGAAAAGAGAATCAAAGCAAAAAAAAATTCACTCCACGATTACAGAGATATGCTGCAGGAAATAGGCTTCTCCTTTATCTTACATTTATTTTAGGGGGAAGTGGTCTTGAATAATGTAAGCAGTTGGGGCAAAGCATGGACCTCTTTGGACTCAGTTTCCCCACCTGTAAAATAAGGGTAGCAGGCCTCCTGTGGGTTTGTTGTGAAGATTCAGTGTGTTCTATCTTTGGCTTCTGTCTGTGGTGAATCTCTTAGGATAGTGACTACATTATTTCCCCCGATCTGTCACTCGGTCTGTCCCCTGTCTAAATGGAACCCCTTGCTGCCCTCACTGGGCTGAGGCTATGGTGTAAAGCTCTGGGGTCAACACTTCCTCCTACCCCCACAACTCCGTTACTCACCCGCCCTTGAACCACAGGGATTTAGACATCTCTCCTTCTCCTCGGGCCTGTAGGACAAACAGATATGGTCAGTGGGGCAATCTCTCCCCAGGGCAGGGTAGGCTCCCCACCCACTTTTGTCTCCCCTTTGGGCTGGGAGTCAGGAGGCCTGGGGCCTAGTCCTCACTGTGTGTCCTTAAGCTTACTCTGGGCCTCAGTTTTCCATCTGTAAAATGGGGAGAAAAGAGCTCCTCTCTACCACCAATCTCAATAGAACTTGGTCTCCTGGTCTGTCAAACTGGGGATGTGTTAGTATCACCTCCAACAAGAGCTCATGCTCTACAGTCCTGGGATTCTCAGGGACAGGTTCAAACACTCATAAGATTCTGTCATTCTCCCAGCCTCACCTGCTCATCTGATCTTGTACCCCAGGGCCTTTGCCTGAGCTGTGCTAGCTCTTTGTATGCCCTCCCACCTACTGCCTCCGACCGGCCTCCATTTGTCATTCGGATCTCAGGGCAGAACCAGGGTTGACACCCCCACCTCCTATGCAACTAGAGGGTGACATGGTGGGCGAAGAGTGGGGAGGGTCCAGCCCTCTCTTCTGAAGTCTTATTGAAGTATTTTGGATATCACTTTTCCTTAAGTGTCACATCCTCCAGGGAGTTTTCCTGATTGTCTTGGATTAGTTTTATGCCCCTTCTGTGAAACCCAGAGAGCCTGCCCATGTTTATTTATTTATTTTTTGTCATATGATTGGTTCCATTACAAGAGTAGCTGCTGTTTTTCCATTTAATTTGCTGACTTAGTGGAAGTTATTCAATAGACTTTACGCTGCATATTCTTTTCTACTCTTTGCATTTAGAACCATGTGAATGGATTACTTAGTTAAAAAAAATAAAATTCTGTTTTAAAACATAGGAAATTTGATTTGAAATGTCTGTGGCTCTGATGTTTGATGGTCTAGGACTTTGGGACTTTCTTTAGGATCTCCTATTGCCAACCTCACCCCAGTTTGGAAGGGCCCCTTTCATAAGGGCACTGCTCTGTCCCCAGCCTAGGGCAGCTTGAGCAACTGAAGAGGTAAATGAATGGCTTCAACCCTGCTGCCCATCTGAACAGTCACCTTGACCCTAATGCTAATCTATCTTTCACTTAATTTCTTCTCTGACCAGCCCTCAAACCTTTCCCCAGCCCTGACACTGGTACCCAATGTGATCCCAGGCACTGATTCCTCCCCCTAACACCAATTTTAACCCTGACCTCTGATCTCTGACTGCTGCCCTAACTCTGATCTCTACCCCTATCCCTAACCTCTACCCCTGTCCATGAACTTGACCTCTGACGCGGCTGTAACCATGACCTAACTCCAGGTTCCAGCTCATCTCTCCTTCTTCCCCGCTCAAAATTCCAGGCTGGCATGGGGGAGACTGGGCTGGGCCTTGGTGGGGCCAGCTGGTTGGGGAAGAGGACAGGCAGGCATGGGTGAGAACAGGGAAGGGCCCTTCTGGAGACAGATGAAGCCAAGGTGTAGCTAGGGTCAGAGAGGGGTCGGATTGGACAGCGGCTGGGCCAGGAATGATGGGGCCAGGACAATGACAGGTGTGGGTGGGGCCAGGTTGGTGTGGGCGGAGCCATGGAAAGACCAGGATGTATGAAAGCGTAGGCGAGGTGGAGGGTGTGCGGAAGTGGGGCGTGGCCAAGCTCTCCGTGGGCGTGTCGTGATCCGTGTGGGCAGAGCCTGGAAAATGGCCAGGGTGGGTGGGGTACGAGAAACGCGGGGAGGTGGGCTGACGGGTTGCGGGACCGGGGCGCGCGGGGCATGGGCCTGACCGGCCGGCGGCTCTGCTTTCACTCACCTCCTGCAGCTGCAGCCGCACTTTGTTGAAGGCTCGAAGCCAGTTGGCCTTGGCCCGGGACATGGAGTCCTGACCCTCCTCCTGGCCTTCCTCATCCTCTCGTCGCCTGAAACTGAGGCAAGGGGCGTCATGAGGCTCAGGGCCGGCCCTCCCTTGACCCTCCGCCCTTGGAGCGACGTCAGGTCCTCCGTGGCCTCTCTGGCCCTTCAGAGACACGATGACCCATCTGTACCCCCTCTGACGGGCCTCTCAGGCTCCCTTCCGCTTCCCCACCCATGACCCTGTGACAAACTCCCCTCCATTGCCCAGGTCCATGCTGACCCCATCACAGCACCACTGACCCCGTGACAGCCCCTTGATCCCCTCCCATTACCTCTCCTCCGACTTGGGGGGTTCCGGCTCAGGTGCCCGCTCAGCTGTGGGCACCTCCTCCGGCGCAGCCGGCTCAAGGGCTGCCTTGGCCACGTCGTGGGCCTCAGCAGGTACAGCCGGAGCTTTTTCCTCCTTCTCAGATGCGGCCGGTGGGAGGCTGACACGCTTAAAGTCTTTGGGCTCAGCCACGGCCACCTCTTCACGCTGGGTGTAGCTACCGATGTCATCAGGCACCTCCTCCTCCTCCTCCAGCTCCTCCTCCTCCTCCTCCTCCTCCTCCAGGAAGTCCTCCAGGTCCTCCTCCAGCTCCTCGTCCAGTTCTTCATCCAGCTCCTCCTCATCCTGGTCCCAGCGCGGCGAGTCCTTGTGGTAGCTGACTGAGCTGTGGCAGGAGTGGTAGGAGTCCCTGTCCCGCTCGTCTTCCATCTCGGAGCCCTGCAGACTCTGCTCGTCCGGGTCGAAGTCCTCGCTCAGCTGCGAGCTGCCCTGGCTCAGTTCCCCCGAGGAGGCATAGCGGCTACTGCCGGTGGGGCTGTGGGGACCAGCCAGGGCTCAGCCGCGGAGGCCCAGGGCCGCTGCCTGACCCAGCCCCAGTCACACAGGTTCCATCACCCAGTCATTCATTCAGCATTGGTTAAGCACCTGCTGCGCACCAGGCTCTGCCCTAGGGACCTGGGAAACACGGCCATGAACAAAAGAAACAAAAATCTCGGCCATCCTGATGTTTCCACTGGTGGTAGAGGCAATAGACTCGATCGATGACATTAGTGATCATTAATGACCTACTGTGCGTCACTCCCATCCATGTACTGGGGAGACTGCAAATGCTCTTCTTACGTGCTGGGGACCCCAGTTAGTGCCCTCACCTCCAGCCTTTGGAGACTTAGTGCTCCTGAAACAACCTCATCCTCCTACCACCAAGCCTCCTCATTCACCAGGGTCCCATGTCTCCCTGCCTCCACCTCTATTCACAGCCGACCCTGCAGTGGGTCTCCTCAGCTCTACCTCGAAAACATATGCAAAATGCATCCACTTCCTTGCACCCCGGGCCCCACCCTAGTCCAGGCTCTGCCGTCTCCACCAGATGCAGCCCCAACGTCCACTCCTATCCCCAACAGTCCTTGCTTCCCACGGAAGCCACAGAGGGACTTCTTCAAATCATAAAGACAATTGCATACCTCCCTGTTTAAGCCGTACCGTGGCTCCTTAGAGACCTTGGAATAGAATCTGTGCCATGCCCTACACCCAGGGTGGCCCAAACCCCCCAGCCTCCCCACCTCATCTCCCTCCGAGCTCCGTTCTCTCCCCCTGCTCCAGCCACATCGGCTTTCTCACTGTTCCTCCAAAACCCTACACTTGTGCCCACCTCTGGGCCTTTGCCCTTGCTGTGCCCTCTGCCAGGAACACCCTTCCTCACGTGCTTTATTTGGCAAAATCTTGGTGCCCATTGAAATGTCACTTCTTTGAGTGAGTGAGTTTCGCCCACACTCTGGCCAAGCCAGGTCTTTATATGTTCCTAATATGCACCCTGGATCGTGCTGGACATGACTAGGAAGAAATCTCTATCTCTGCCTGAGGGCAGGCAGCATGACACATGGGCCACCCCTAATCCCCCTTCTAATCATTCATTCAGTCACTCAACAAACATCATTCCTTGCCTTAAATACTTCCTCCACTCTCAGTGACGGTGACCCCTTTCTCCAGCCAGCTCCAGGGATGCTGTAGCAATCAAAATGGGGGTTTCTCCCTCTAGCCATTGTTTGCTAGTTTATGAGTTTCATTGATTGCTTTTTAGTGCCCATCCCTGTAGATGGCAGGAAACAGGTGGGGGATCAGCAGGTATTACTTGGCTGGAAAGGACTCCAAGCTCCCTCTGCTGATGAATACCCCTGAAGTCCAGCCCAGCACATTCTGGAGTCCCTGGTAAGGGGGGGCAGCCTAGGACTGGGATCCCAACAGGGGCCTGGAAGTTTCCACCTCCAACCTCAGGCACCACATACATTGTTCCAGGCTTGGCTTTGGGGCCATCCTCCCATCCTGGCTCTGACATACTGAGTCCCAACACAGCTCTTACCCCAATCAGACGCTTCCCCTGGCTCCCATGGCCCTGAATTAGCCACGCAAGGGCCTTCCTGCATGATCTGGCACCTTGCACCTCTCCAGTCTGTGGCTGAGCTGTTTCCTCTGCCTGAAATTCCCTTCCTCAGACTTCTCATTTATCCTTCAAGGGCCATCTCCCAGGCGCCTTCCTCCAGGAAGCCCTCCCTACCCTTCCCCACTGCTAGAGTCCGGTCGCTCCTTCCAATCAAGCCCTGACCTGTGGGATGGAATGTCTGTGTCTGGCTCTGTGTCCCTAGCCTCTCGGATCACCGAGCACTAGGCAGCGTAGCCATAGGATAGCTGGGGAGTGTGGCTTGAATCACTCTCAGGGGAACACAGGCCATTTCTGCCTCTGCATCCTCTCCCTCACCCCTGCATGGCCTGACCACAGCAGGAGGGGAGAAGACTCCTCTTTCTCCAACCTCTCCCACCCCATTCTGTCCCAGGAATGCTCACAGTAGACAGACTCCTCCAACCAAACACTTCCTGGCACTTTCTCTGGGTCTGATGCTATGGTCACTCTCCAGCTCTTTTTCTCCAAGAGAAGACTTTTCCTTCTTCTAAAAGAGTTAATAGTTTATTAATATTTCATATCTTACTCTCAACTCTTTCCAATACGTTGAAACTTTATTCCCATAATTGCTTATCTTGAGTATGCAAATGAATGCGAGTGATGCTTTCGTGAAGGAAATGTATTCTTCCAGGAACAAATATTTAGGAAAAAGACCCACAACCAAAGATCATACCTGGCCAAAACTTGGCACCCAATAGGTTCACCATAAACACTAGTCCTTATGACTTACCAGATGTGTGACCTCAAACAAGTGACTTAACCTCTCTGTGCCTTGATTCCCTGCCTGCCAAATGAGACCAATAGTATTCCCACCCAGAGAATAAAATGAGATGATGAAGGGAAGGTGCCGGTCCAGCGCTGGGTGCATGGTTACCTCCAAATGCTATTATTTGTGCTGTGTACCTAACAGTCCCTGTGTAGCACTTTCAGACACCCCTCTAAGCGCTTTACAAACATTCAATCTGCTTAATATCATGTTTATCATCATTCTGTTTGGAAGCCAGGGCTGGGGTGATCAGGTCAGCGAGGAAGGATGGCAGGCACGAGTGTCAGCCTCTTAGGTTTGAGGACCAGCACCCTGCACAGGGCAGTGGCATGGCCCGTGAGGGCCAGGGTACCCACCTATGGGACAGATCTAGGGACAGCCTACTTTCAAGGGACAGCTCCCAAGTCACCGTACCCATGGCTGCCAGCCAGAAACACAGAGTCAGGCCATTAGGGAGGGCTGGGCAGCACCATGCCAGGACCACCAGCTGGCTGCTTGCTGGGAGTCCTTCCAATATCACTATGCTTCACCACCCTCCATGAATGCTAGTCTCTTCCTCCACCTACCCCTCCCCTGCCCAGTGAGAGAGTACACAGAAACCAGTGCCCCAGTGGCAAGGCACCCCCGTATTTCAGGGGCACCTCTCAGGGGCCTCCTGACTTATCCCTCTTTCTTCAGCCAAAGCAGATGCCCTTTTACCAAGCTTGGGAGATTTTCTTACGAGATCAAGGGTAAAGAAAGGGCTCTATTACCTATAAGAGAGTATGGATGGTGCTTTCCTAGACCCACTTACCTCCCCCTCCATCTTGCCCAAGTTCCCTACTCCTCTCTCCACTTTGGGACACACAGCCACATACACACACATGCACACACGCGGATCCCTTTTTCCACAGATCACACACCTGAGGGCCCGTGGCTCAGAGAACTCCTCATAACTGTGCACGGAGTCACTGTAGGATTCCCGGGAACCCAGGGGTGGTGGACGGACAGAATACTGGTGGACTGAGGCATTGGGTTGGGATGTAGTGTAATAAGGTGGTGGGATGCTGTTGCTTGTCTCGCTGCGATAGTCACTGTCACGATCATCCACTGCACTGTCAGGGTCATCATCTAGAAGAGAGAGGAGGGGACGGAAGAGAGTGAGGAGGGAAGGGAGAGGGAGAGCACACCATGGAGGCCAATGCAGTCTCTCAGACTTCTCAGACTAGGGAATCTTCACTGGCTGCTAACCCAAGAAGAGGAATCTTTGCCAGAATGAATGAAGGATCTTGGGCCATGTTGATAGAAGTAGAGGCTTTAGGATAAGGGAGGTGAAAACCCTGCTTTGCCGGTCAGACTGAGCTCATAGTCTGGGGTCCAAGGTAGGTCCTACAGTGTGAGGAGGACAAGGACAAATTAGAGAGTGTCCTTCAGCTCAAATGTGAGAATGGACTTTGCTAAAGTCCAGGTTTTCTGAAAACAAGATGAGTTTTTCCATCACGCGGTGAGTCACACAAACACTCAGGGGGACATTTAGAGGACAAGGTGGAGTATTTATTTCCTTTAACCCTCAGAGATTTCATGATGTCCGAGGATGCGGATCCTAGATCTGAACTCACACGTGTAGGAACAAAGGAGAGGCTCTGACAGATACTACAGCCCTCAAAAAGGATTAGATTCTTAGGTTGGCAAGATCACCACACACTCAGAATCTATCGCTAAAATGCAACAGGGTGAAATTGCTGAACTTCAAGTGTTTTATAAGAATTAAGGGACGTTTTAGTTTGGTTTGTTTTCCTTGATAAAAAGAGAACAGTGTGGAAGGATGTTAGATTGTGGTGGGATGGGAGAGACTCAATTCACTTAGAAAGCAACACTGGGTGGCTCGGCCAGTTAAGTGGCCCACTCCTGATTTCCGATCAGGTCATGATCTTGGGGTTGTGAGATTGAGCCCAGTCTGGCTCTGCGCTCAGTGGTGAGTCTGCTTAAGATTCTTTCCCTCTGCCCCTCCCCGCCCCCTGAACTCAGGCACACTTGCATGTGCTCTCTCTCCCTCTCTCTAAAAAAAATAAATAAATAAAATAGAAAACAACACTTGAAAACAAATGGGTTGCAAAAAAAAAAAATTAAATCAAAACCCTGACTGGGTGGCCTATGATACTCTTGACCATGGCATCAATTTACTGGTGACATTAAATGCCAAGGAGGCGGCTTGCCCCTTTTTATGCCTGTAAGTTTTTTTGCTCATTTCCCAGATGTTTGTGTGTTTTTCTTGCCTTATTATTTTAACCTTCTAGTTTTTTCCCAGCTAATCGTTTCTGTTTCTATATATTTGACAAATAGGTCCATTTCTTAAAATGTGGTAAACTGTTTAAAAAATTGATTTCACACTTCACGTAGAGAGCTAGTTGGATTCATTCCCAAGCCTATTTTGCCTTTTGAGAAACCTTAACTTCATTTTCAGCTAGCGAAGCTGGCCTTACCAAGGTAATTCTGGCTTCCTGGTTTCTCAAGTGACTTGGGCCACTGTGACCTACAAGCTTTTTATCTTGTCCCTGTCATACGCGGCTGCCATCCAATTGAGTGCTGGCCTTTTAGGCAGAAGTAGATGTGAATTTCCACATCTGCAGGCATCAGGGTGTAACTGTGAGGCCATAAAAGCCTGAAGTGGGGGGTCCGAAACCCCAGACAGTCCCCCATGGGAACTCTGGACAATTCATCAGTGTCATCAAATTGCTCCTTTGACCAACTTGTTTTCTACCCAGTTACCTGGGTATGTATAGTCTTTAGCCAAATGGGCATTCTTTCTACCAAACTGTCCTTGACCGGGCCAAGATGTTTCCAACCAAATTGCATGAGGCTGTGGGCGTGTTCACCAGATCATTAATTTTTTTCTGACAAACTGTTTTGTTTTAGGGGCAAATTGCTTTCTATTGAATTCCTATTGGATTCTTTTCTTGGATGCTTTCACCCAGACTCTGCTTTTTACCAAATAGTTCTTAACAAATTGCCTGCTTCCCGATAGACATTTTAGCCACTCTGGTTTTGATGAAATGACCTAATTGTCTTTGTTCTTCTTGACCCAATTATCAGCTTTTGCCAAATTGGTTTTGGCCGAAAACGTCTTTGTTTTTGATTGTATTGTTTGTTCGTGGCAAACTGTTACCAAGCCTTCTTGTTTGCCAAATGCCTATTTTGGCTACATTGGTTTTTGACAAATTGTTTTGGATCAAAGTATTTGTAAACAGTTTCCCTGGTCCTGGAGGGAGGGCATAGTGGAGGTTGTCCATCAGGATAAGGGCACCCGGTGGAGGAGTTCCCAGTGGGTGGGATAGAGGGAAGGAGGTAGATTCATGCTCAGGTTAGAAGACTGGATTTCTCTGGAAGGGGTAGGACATGGAGAAAAGGGAGCTATTCCTCAGGGAGGTAAATAAGCATCCAGTTGTGTGTGTGTGGGGGAGAGGTGACTTGTTTCCTTCCCCTAGGGTTAAATTGGAGGAAGACTGCGGGGAACTTTGGAAGCTGAGGTCTCTGGAGTGATATGTGCCTGGGGGTCCCTGCCTAGCTGCCCCTTCTGAAACCCTCTCACCCTATATCTACCACTACCAAGTGACATTGGGGCCCATTTCCAGGTGGAGGAGGAAGATGGGGAGACAAAAAGAGGAAGGAGTCACAGGAGAGGAGATGACATTATACATGGGGAACGGGGTGGGGAGGGAAGGGGTCACAGTGCCCAGCTGGAGACAGGCAGGTCTCTGGTCTAAATGCCCACTCCTCCCAGCTGAATCCCTCCACCCCAATAATGGTGCCCAGTCCCCACCAAACAGAGCAGGACCTTCAAGACAGACATTAACGGTCAGGGGACAGGAGGGCACATGAGGGGCCTTGCCAGTCCTCAGGCCCCAGTGTGCCCGTCATAGGCTCCCTGCTTCCCTGGCGGTGGAGCGGGGGCCTCAGGGCTGCCAAGGCACCCACCTCCCCATGGCCTCCCAGAACATCAAGCTGAGTACTTACTCTGCTGCTCACCCCAGCCAAAATAATTCCAGTTGCCTACAAAGAGAAGGGGCAGAGATAATAAAAGGGAGCAGGCAGAGGGGGGGCATGGGGAGGGGGACTCCCCCATCCTCCTCATTTTCCCCATCTCCTCCTCCCACCCCAGGACCCCGATCCCCTCCTGCCCTGAGTATCTTCTCAGAATATCACTTTAACCCGTGACATTTGTGACACCTTCAATCATCACCTTGAGAGGCTGGGGGTATATCCCAATTTTTCGCAGAGGCCACAAGTTCAGCCAGGAAGTAACAAAGGAGGCATTTAGGCCCAGGGTTTTCCAACTCTGAACTCTGGAGTCAGCACTCCCCACTCTTTCCCTCCCCCTTCTGGAATACAAGGAAAGAAACACCGAATTGGAAATCTAAACTTTGAAACACTCCTGATGGGTGGGTCTTAGTCATTCTGCTCATTTTATGGGTGAAGAAACAGGGCTCAGAGAGGTAGAGTGAGCAGCCTAAAGTCACACAGCCTCTGAGGACCAGGGAGAGAACCACATCTTCCCTCATCCCCTCATCCTCAGCACCTGGCGTGGTGGAAAAATGCCTTGGACCAGAATCCTATCTCCTCTGACACTTGGCTGCCTCCTCCAAAACATGGTCGTGATGAAACATTCTCAAAAGAACTCGGAGGTAAATGCCAAGGGTAGGTCTCCATTCCCAAATCGAACCCACCCCTCCCGTCAGGCTACCTGTCCATGTGTTTGTTCTTCATCATCTGCTCCTGTCTCCACTTGCCTGACACTGTCCCCACCTTAATCCTTCAGTGACCCCATTCACCAGGAAGGGGGTTAGTAATTTCTTAGGGCAGTGATGACCCCTCCCCAGGTAGGGAAGTCAGAGGACTTTCTCAATAGCACCCCCAAATTAGCGTGGAAATGGGGTTCCCCAACTGCAGTCCCCCAGCCCCTCCACCCACCGGGCTCCATCATTACCATCCTGGGCATATGGGGGGTCGACAACGGATACAGGGGAGACTGTGAAAGGGCATGAGAGGGGGATGGGGAAGCAGATGGAAAAGGAGAAAGAGGTAGAAAGGTGGGGTGGGGTCAAAATGTTGGGTGGGGCTCTGCCCTGAGACCATATGATTTGTCACTTCCTCCCCACTCCGGGGGACTCAGAGGGCACTCTTAGGGGACAGACACCTCCTTGGCCCATGGAGAACTGGTCTGGGTGCATCTGAGTATCCACAAGGCCAAGGAAGATAAACACTCCTGAAAACTTCAGCCTTGATGGAGGCGGGGGTAGCCAGAGGAACATGATCATCCTTATCCATAGATGCAGAGCAGTGGAAAGAGAAGCGAAGTTGGAATCCCTCAGACCCTGAGTTCAAATCCTAGCTCTGCCTCCTGCTGAGTGTGTGACCTTGGGCAAGTCACTTCTCCTCTTGGGCCTCAGTTTCTCTATCTAAGACAACGGGCAGATGAAACAGCCTTCGTGCATTGTACGTGCCTGTTGTACCTGTGTTAGCAGGATTGTCTGCACGACTGTGGGCTGCTTGGGGGGTGGGGTCTGCGTGGGCCCCGTGGAAGCTTGTCGAATGAGTTATAGGTCCTCATCCAGGATCTGATGAATGGAATTAGAGAGTCTGCAAAGTGTTTTTCAAATCTCTAGAAGGACTCTCCCGTGCCCTTCCAACAGCCCCCAGAGTAAGGGCACTGTCAGATGCCCTATTTCAAAGAGAGGGACTCTATGGATCAGAGAGGGATTCTGGCATGCCTGTGACCACACAGCAAGACAGGACTCACATCCAAGTCCCGGATCTTTTCTTTTCACTGCACCGTGAGCAGATACTGTGTGCTCTTAAGACCTGTTCCTCTGGAGGGGAGTGGCCTGTTACTCAGGACAGTCACGGGTAGGGGAGGGATGAGGTTTCAGTTGATGCCCAGGGAGGAATCGAGAGGTACTTACAACACTGGTTGCTGGGGACAGGGAGAGGCTTGTCTTGTTCATCTTGGAATGAATACTGAGAGGGAGGGAAGGAGAGAGTGTTCCTCTCAGGAGGGGCCAGAAGCCAGAGGACCAAGATGGTGCTCTGCTCTGTTCCATCCTGACTACCCCTGCCTCCCAAATCCACTCTGTCTGCAGGAGAAGGATGCAGATGTCCACAGGAAAAGATACGCGCACACACACACACACACAGAGAAACAGTGAGAAACAGAGACAGAAAAAGAAAGAAACACAGATGAGGGAAAGAAACAAATAGAAGTGGGTGAAAGAGAGAGCTGTGGGGGAAACTGAGGCAGGGAGCAGAAGAAAGATCAGCGATGAAGTTTGGACAAAAACTATTATCATATGAGTGTTGCCTTTTTGTACTCCACCTCCCACTGAAGAGAGCTCTGGTCTTGCCTGCTATCTCTTCCCGGCCTTCGCCTTCCGAAGGCTGCCTTCTGGGCCCCATTGGGTCTTTGCATTGTGATAATACAGAGCCAAGAAGAAGGGGGATGTCATGGAAGAACAGGGGTGAAGAGGCCAGGGCTGGTGGGGGAGAACTTTGAAAAGTCCAAAAGCATGACCCGAGGAGTTGAGGGGTGTGGGGCGGAGAGCGGATGTAAAGGCTGCTGTGTGGGGCCTGTGTCTCCTTGAGGGTATCTGGCAAGGGCAGGACTCGAGCCGATTGAAATCGTTCCATCATTGGTGGACTGTATGTTCTTTGATGTCCTCATCGCTTTGAGACAGGACCAAATGAGGCTCTGATTTTGTCCCCAGGTAGAGACACAGACAGAGGGAGACAAGTGGAGAGCGAAACAGAGACAGAAAGCAGAGGACGTGGGGAGACAGAGGGAGGGACAGGCACAGAAAGAAGAGTCTCCCCTCCAATGCTCACCTCATCCTGGTCCCGCATGGCATTCAGCTGCTCCAGCTTCTTGGCCCAGTAGCGCGCCTCCTCCTCGGGAATGTCTGGAAGCGGAGCCCTGGCTGTGAGTCCGGAACCCCTCCCTGCCCCTCAGCCTCCATCCAGTGCATCCTGCAGGCCTATGGGCTGGTCTCAAGGGGGTGTAGGAAGAGGAAAGGAGGACAGGGTGGTGTCCCATCCACCCCCCACCCCCCCCACCACCCAGAGCTGCCTTGGGAATGAATGGAGGATGAGAGAGGAGATGCCTCCTAGCATTCCAAGGGTGGGGGAAACCATAGGTTCCTGGAAAGATGCTGTGGAGAGAACTGAGCTGCTTCCAAGAGAGAAAGAGAGGCCTCTTTGTGTCTCTGCCTCTGTTTTTCTCTACATGTCTCTTTGTCTCTGTTTGTCTCTCCTCCTATCTCCAGCTCACCCTGCATCCTAGGACCTCACCAAGGACCAGCCCAGGGCAGTTCAGACCCAAGCTCCATGGGTCAAGAAGAATTTGCTGCCCATTGGTGACCTAGGGGGGCTGGGGTGTGCTCTGCACATGGCAGGTGCATGTCCCGCTGACTCACTGCAACTGGGAAACTCTCTCCTCTGGAGATAGGAAACTTCATCCTCAGAATGAAGGGCAGTCTGAACCCACCCAGGCCTGGCCATTCTCCTGGGTCTGGTGAGGGTCCTTTGCCCCCCACACTCACCTAAAGGCAGCTCGAAGCGGGTGTCAAGGAGGATGCGGTGGAAGGTGGGGTCCTTGGTGCCGCAGATCTCACTGTCTGCCATGATGACCTGAGAATCCAGTGTCAGCCACTCTCCAGGGCCCTCCTGGGGATTGGGGTGAGTGACAGGGTCCAAAGTGATGCAGGATGGAGCAGAGATCTACTGCACATTGACCAGCAGGTCCTCTACTTTCACAGAAGATGCACTTCCCCCCATCTCACCCTTACCCTTACCCTAAGAGCAAGGGTCATGCCCACACTTTACAGACAAAGAAACTGAGACTCAGAGAGAAGGTTCTGGTCCAGAGCAACATGGTGGGTCCAAGGAACCCAGAGGCAGGGACCTGGAGAGAAGGCCCTGTGGGGCCAGGCAGGGGTGGTCCCAAGCTTGCACAGCCATGTCTCATCTCTCATGGGTGTATGTGGCCCTAGCTTCAAATAAAAATCCTGATGCCCATCCATGGGAGAATTCCCCACCCCAAGTGACCAAACTAGTCCTGCAGTCACAGGAGACAGAGCATGACACACTCACCTCCAGCCTGGAGAGGTCAGGGCAGAGCCAGAAGGAGAGTGGGGGGCTGGGGTATTCAAAGGGAAGTAAGGGAAGGTTTCCTGAGGAGAGGGCATGGGAGCTGAGCTTAGAGAGTGATGGAAGGGATACTTGGAACCCAGGGAACAGCATATTCGAAGGTTCAGAAGCCATCCTTGGGGCGTATAAAGGGTGGAGGTTGGGGGGCAGGGTAGGGGAGATGAGACTGGCAATGTAGGCAAGTGCCATCAAGAAGGCCTTCCAAAGGAGATGAGCAGGGATGGCAAGGAAAGGTCCTAGGGTGGTAAGAATCCGCTGGGCTCAGCAAGAAGTGTCTGAGTGGAAGGGGTGAGATATAAGGCCTGGAGGCCAGGGAGGAGGCCAAGGTTATTGTCTAGTACCTTCAGGGCTGGTGTAGCCTTCTCCCTGCACAAAGTGCTAATTACCCACAATAACCCTCCTCCTCTTTTCCATAGAAATACATTTACAGCTGGGCCCAGGGCTGTGCAGCTTAAGACTACTTTTCCCAGACTCCCTTGCAGCTAAGTGTCCACGTGATTAAGTTCTAGCCAATAGGATGTGAGTAAAGTACTGTGAGCAGCTTTCAGGTTAGACCCTTAACCAAGAGGGTGAGCCCCCTCCCTTGCCACCTTTTCTTCCCTTGACGGCAATGCAGATGTAATGGAGATCCTCCAGCAGCCCTCTTGGGCTGCACAGGGAGAAAGGCAGAGCAACAAGATGGAAGGAGTTCAGACCCTGGTGACTTTGGAGCCACCATCACAAACATTGCTGGGGGACAGAGATACATGTCCATCTTGTGTAGGCCACTGGCCTCTGGGTCCCTCCAAGGCACTCCTCCCCAACCCTCAGCCCACCACTCACTTCATTGGACTGGCGGATGGTCCGCAGGGGAATCCACACGGTGCCCACCATCGTGTCCCAGATGAGACCCTTGTTCCACACCTCCACTGTCAGCCCCAAATCCAGGCGGTTAATCTCACTGTGGAGAGAGGGGAGGGACATGAAGGGGTAGGAGTGAGGGAGTGAAGTCTCAGAAAAGTCAGTTCACCTGCCTTAGGACATGCAACCAACTGGAATTCAAACCCAGGCCTGGGTGAGTCTTACCAAGAAGATAACACAGTGGTTCTTGTTTTACAGAGGGGAAACTGAGGCCAAAGGGTTAAGTTACATGCTCAGGGTATCACAGCAGAACCAGGATTACAAGCAGGAAGGAGGGAGTGGGGAAAGATAACACACATCTCCTACATCCCCAACTCTCTTGGCTCATCCTTGAGCCCTTAGACCCTGAGAGTACTGGCTAAGGGAGGAAGAGGCTCAAACACCCACTGTGGCTCCCTATTACCCCAGGATAAGGACATTCCGGATGCCTCCATCCTTCCCAGAGTCACCTCTATCCAATGATATGGGGACACCCCTGAGAACATGAATGATACCACCTCTAAGCGCTTTCCTTGCAGGATCCACCCTGGAAATATGCAGATTTGGGGGAAATCCTTGGTGAATGTCCAGTTCACTGAATTTACCAATTTACCAAAGATTTATCTTAAGGATTCTCTTTACATATAGCTATGACCTAGTCATTCAGTAACTGGCTTTCAGGAAGTTGAGGACCACACTGTTTCTCCCCCTTCATATCTTCTCTAGAATTGTAGGGCCTGCTGCTCCCCTCTTTCCCCAAATTCCTCTGTTCCAAGATCCCAACTCTGAGTTCTCTCATAGCCTCCACCACTGCTAGTCCTCAGCTAAGCTCTGCTCAAGGATTTGAGGGCTGCTTGGGTCCAAATCTCAGCTCTGCCAAGTATAGGCTGTGTGACACTGAGCAAATGGTTTTGCCTCTCTGGTCCTCTGTTTCCTCTTCTGTAAAATGAGGATTAGAATAGCACTCGCCCTCCCAGGGCTGTGGGGAAAACTGATTTAATCAAAGCCTTAGAAAAGGGCATAGAACTAGTTGTTGGTCATCATCAGAGAAGATGGGATGTAATATGAGGCCCTGAGTGGCTCCAGGTTGAGGGGAGGATCCAGATCATGAATTCATTCAGTTATTAGGCAAATATTTATTAAGCCACCTACTGTGTGCCAGGCCTTGTGCTTGGCATGGGGGGTGAGACTAACAGTGGAGACAGAGACCAACTGGGCCCTAGCCTCCTAGAGCTCACAGTCTGGGGTCAGGGGCCAGAAATGTGTCGAGAAATCACACAAATGACTAAAGTGATAATTGGTGGCTAGGCCTGAAATTACTCTCCAATCGCAGCTTGGGGATGGTGGTCAGGGAGGGCTTCCCTGAGGAGGTGACTCAGTGGAGATTCGAAGTACGAGAAGGACCTTGCTGGGGGGAGCGGGGAGGAGAGAAGAGCAAGTACAAAGGCCCTAGGACAGGAACAAGCTGGACATGTTGGAGGAATGGTCCAGTGGTGGAGGTGGCTGGGGCAGGTGAGCCAGGAGAGATGGAGGGAGATACTGGCAGCTCACAGGGGCCAGGCCTGGAAAGAGGGTGTTGTGGAGAGGAGTGTGGGTTTTGTTCTGAGGTTCACAAGCCATGAGCCACGGGCAAGTTTAGAGAGTGACAGGATGTGATTTGCAGTTTTAAAAATATCCCCTTGGCTGCCTGGAGGAGAACAGATTGCTGGGAGGCAGGAGGCGGGCAGCAGCAGGAGGCCAGGGGCGGAGGCTGGTGGGGCAGCGGGGACTTGGCTGGTGGCCATGGAGATAAAGAGAAGCAACTGGATTTAGGAAGTGCTTTGGAGGCAAAGCTGATGGCTGGACACGGGGCTGAGGGAGGAGGGAGTGGAGTCCCAGACGACACGCAGGTGTCCAGCTCTGCTCTGTGGGACCAGCAAGGTGCCAGGCCATGCTAGCCCAGTCACTGCAGACTCACAACATGAAATCCTGCTCCCAGCTGGGCTGGCTGCCCCGCACAGCGATGGTCGTGCTCTTGACATTTTGAACCTTCAGGGTCACGTACGTGTTGAATTTCTCTGTAGTGGTGAGAGCAGGGGTCAGCACAGGAACTCAGGGACCCCCCATCCCCCTTCCCAAGCTCTAGATGACCCTGCTGTGATGCCCCAGGGTCTCCGTGTACTTGGGGCCACAGTCCAATAATGATGTCCAATATACTGAGCTGTTTTTTTGCCTATACCCCAGAGTCCCTCCCTGCCAGTCTCTCAGAGTGCAAGGGAAGGGCCTTGGTTCAGGGAGATGTTAGGCATCAGGGATGTCTAATCTTGCTGCTTAGAAATTACTGTGTACAATAGCCTTGGTTTTTAGCTGGGAAGACTGAGGCCCCAGATAGTGGAACAAAATTGACAGTAAGAAACTCCCTTCACTCTCTGAGCATCACTTTTCCCACCTGTAGCCTGATCTAAGCATCCCCACCCTGTCTCTCAGGATCCTGGGAAGGGCCCCTGGTTTAGGGTGAGCACCACCTCCATTAGATTCTCCAGGAGATGGCTGGGGAGACTTTGGGATCCAGGACAAGTCTGACACTCTGTGATGCTCAGCAGACATGCAGCCCAAGTCCCCTATCACTGGCTCAGACCCCCTCCCCTATCTCTCCAAGACATAGATGGACAGACAACACAGGACAGGGTAGGAATAGAGGCCACTTACCTTGGGCACCATCAAACTTGGCTTTTTTGACTGTGGAGAGAGACAGAGATAGGGAAGGGAGATGGGGAGAGAGTAGGGAGAAGACAGAGACACAGACACAGAGAGACACACCAAAATAGAAATATAACAAGAGAGACAGAAGGGGGAGAGACACAGAAAGAAAGAGACAAAGAGGAAAGGCAAAGATAGAGAGCAAAAGAGATCAAGAGACCAAACAGAAAACAAAAACAAAAGCAAGATAAAGAGATGAGATCAGAGACAGAGACAAAGAGACAAGGAAAGGAAGAGAAACAGGAAGGAGTGGAGGGAGGCAGGAATGAGAGGGAGAGAAAGAAGCCATCAGACAGATGAGCACAGGCAGACCTAGGGGTTGAAGGAAATCTGGACACTGGGCATAATTTCTGCCCCTCCTCCCTCCCCATCAAATTCCCCCAAAGCTCCCCCACCTCCAGCTGTGCCCTTACCCACAATCAAACAGGATTCAAAAGAAGGAGCTGGGCAGGGGACAGGAGAAGCCTCCCACAGGAAGCCCTCCAAGATTGCAGCCAAGAGAGAACAGTTAGGGAGGGAGAGAGAGAGGAGAAAGGCAATCTCTGATGACCCCCTCCACCTGTCAGACCAGTGAGACTTCTCCCCCAATTATCCAGCTCATTCTGTCCTACCAAATGTTCCAGGGGTTTGAGGTCTAATATTCAAAGGGGACTGGGCGAGGTGGAATGGAACAGCCCAGAGAGCTGGCTCTGTAGTGCCCACAGAGACATCCCAGCCTTGGCTGGGATGTTGTTAGAGCTTGTCCAGCCCAACTTGCTTATGAAAGATGAATCCCAAATATACATCAGGGTCCCACGTGGTCCAGTCTCTTTATGTTTCACATCACCCCACAGTCCCAAGTGACTTGAAGCAATTCCACTCTTTACTGGCTTTTCTCACAGGATATTAAACTTACTTTCAACATCTCTCGCACCCTGCAGCTGCCCCCAACATCTTTTTCCACCATTCACTCTGTCTCCACCCAAAACTGGCTCCCAAACTGAGCCCTTTCTCCTGCTTTCCACAATTCTCCCTTTCTCCTTTTCAATGAATGTTTCTCTTTGTGTAGGCAATACAGGCACATTTTACAAAATCCAAGGCAACCCAGAAATTGGCATACAATGAGAATAAGGCTCTTTTCTACCCCAGCCCTCACAATCCCACCTGGTGCAATCAACATTACCAGTTCCTTGTAGTGGATAGAGATAGACGGTTTCTGATTCGGCGATCGTGTGCATTTTGTGCATTATTTTATTTCCTACACAAATGGCAGCATTCTACACCCTCTGTAGAAACTTTCTGTTTTAAAGAGTATGTGCAGGTAAGTTGAAGGGTAAATTCCTAGAAACAAAATTGTGTTTCTATTCTCTCTTTTCTTTTGAGAGTCAAGTTCAGCCCTTTTTCAGGCAAATGCCGTGGCCTCCCATCTTGGGTTCATGTCTCTGTCCTCATCACTTGAGTTTCTGTCTTGCAAAAGTACCGGAATGAAACCAGTGAAGAGAGAATTCCCATCAAGGGTGGGGAACGTGGAGTAGTTCTAAACACTCGTCAGTAAATACTGTTTGTTTCTGTTGCAGACAGACGGTGTACTTGTCTGGTGGTAGTGGGGTGGGGGGGCAGGGGATCGAAGCTCAGAAGCACTGAGTTGCAGAGCAGGAGAGACCTTCCTATGCCAATGCCAACGCCCCCAAGAAGACCCAAACTTTAAATGCAAATAGGTTGTGCATCGTACTCATCACATCTGGGTTTGGGTTTGAGAGGTTAGAGTGCAGAGGGATATTAGGAGTGATGAGCACCATTTCAGCATGGAGTCAGACGAGCCAGGTTCAGCTTACAGTGCTGTGTGAAACTGGGCAACTGAATCCCCATCTCTGGGCCTCCATCTCTCTCTCACTCCATCTCTCTCTTTCTGTTTTTCTAGATCTGGCTTTCTCTCTGTCTTTTATCTTTGTGTCTCTGTCTCCCTTCCTCCCACACCCCCAAATCAGTCACCATGTGCTATCTTCCTTACCTTCCTGTTCAAGGCACATAACTGCACGTGCAAAGGCCCCCCTCTCTTGAAGGCATGCTCCGCTCCTGTCGCACTGGCTCCCTCTCATACCCTCAGCCCCACTCAGCCCACAGGGAGCTCAACTGCCCAGCCCCTCAACCCTGGGGCTGAGTGAAGCCCAGGGACACTTCGGACTGTACCCGGCAGGAGCTACAGACCTCCCTCAAGTAGGCCATGGGGGAGCTCCTGCTTGCACACCTGGTGACTGTGAAGCTGGGAGTAGGGATGAAGCAGAGGCAGGGGCAGGGCAGGGAGGAGGAACGGTGAAAGAGACACAGGCTGAGAAAGTCACACACACATGGAGGGATCAACATGGGGAAAGAGAGGCAGGGAGGAAGAGGAGGGGGTAGACAACAAGTCACAAGAATCAGAGACAGAGACACAGAAAGAGAGAGACACACAGGTGTCCTCTAGGGAAGACCAGCAAAAAGGAGAGGCAGAGTGGGGAGAGAAGGGCTGGAGGGAGAGATGAGGGGCTGATTGGTGTCTAGCGAGGCCTGGCCTGGGCCCCAGCCCACAGCTCCTGCTCTGTAACCCTTTTTACAGACCAGGGAGAGAGCTCAGAGGGGAGGCCATTCATCCACTGTCTCCTCCATCCTCTCCTCCTGGTGGGGGATGGAGTGTCTCTCTGTTTCCCTCCTCCTGGTTCTCTTTCTCTCCCCCCCTCCCCCATCTGTCTCCGTCTCTCTCATCCCCACTCCCTCAGATTGCCCACTTTCCTCCTCCTTAAGCCTCAGTGGGCCAGAGGGTAGTGAGCTCCACCAGCGGTGGAGTGATGGGGGTGGGGACACTCTAGCTCTGACAGCTGAGGCCAGTCTCAGGCTCCCAGACCCCTTCAGTGAGTCCAGGATGAGGACATCAATGTATGTTCATCAGTGGGAACTCAGAGGGAGGAGGGGGAGACTCCGAGTGAGATAGGGGGCTCAGAGAGAAAACGAGGAATCAAGGAAGGGGCTCTGGGTGGGGAGGAGAACTCAGAGGGGATATTGGATATGGGGCAAGGGGTAGAGGAGAGAAGACTAGGGAAGGAAGCTCTGGAACTGGAGGAAGGTCTTGGTGGGGGAGGGGGTCAGGAAGGCCGAGGAGCCCGTGTCATCAGGGGTGGGGCTCAGAGGAGGAGGGGGCTCAGGAAGGGGCTGGTGGGGCTCCGAGAAGGAACCAAGTCTATCTCCTTCTGTCTTCCCCATCAGTAAACCGTCCAAGTCATTGTCGCCTTCACCACCATAGTCATCCCATCTCTGCCCTGCCACTTTCCCCCTGCTCTCTGGCGCTACTCGAGCTCGAGTGGAGCTGCAGTATTGGGGTCACCGGGGCGGAAGCACCACCCCTCCCCCGCGGGCTCCTGGTCACACGCACAAGGCTATTTATAAAGTGGGCACAGAGGACGTGGGCAACGCGACAGCTGGGAGTGGCGGGTGGGGGAGGAGCCCACTGCCAGCCCCTCTGACAGGCCAGCGGGAGACGCCCCCTCACGACTGTCAGCAGCCAGCTTGGCCCTTGGGGGCCCCATCAGCGCTGACCGATTAATGTGGTTACACGGCAGATGCTGGCCAGGGCAGAATCGGTGACGGTGGGAGGAGGGGCTCAGGCTGGGGACTCCCATAGGCGCAGCCAGGCTCTGGACCTCAGTTTCTGCATCTGGGAAATGGAGCGAAGTAGGGCTTTCTCCCCTTCCTCCTCCTCTCTTATTCCCTCCTCTTCCTGCTCCCTTTTCCTTTTCATCATTATTAGAATCGGCATTATTACGCTGTCGTGACCAATATTTTTATAATTACCATTACCAGTATCATTACTATTTGCATTATTTGGTTGGGTTCTAAGTGTGCCCCTGGTCTGGATGACCCTGGATTCTAATTGAGGTGAATTCCAGTCTTTGGGCACCTCCTCCATGACCTGCCAGGCCTGGGGTGGGGGCGGATGAAGAGTAGATTCCAACCATCAAGGGAAGCACCTGAAAGCCCCTCTTCGGGACATGCTTACTGTGTCAGAAGACACTACAAGACAGGGGAGGAGGGGAGGGAAACAAAGAATTCAGAAATCGATTTTAAGATGTTTGGTGGTTTTACATGTGATGTCGATGGCCTACATGAGCCTTGTGGTAAGGACACTGGTCCCACTGGCTTTCATCTGGGAGAGAGGGCTCTTACCCTCCATTGACAGAAATAAGCCAGAGCCGGACAGAAGACCACAGTGTAAAACATAAACACACCGAGAACTTTGACAGAGATTTCTGTCTGTGTTGTTTACTGGGTGCCGCCACTTAGAACTAAGCCTGACATATAGTAGGTGCTCATTAAATAGTGTTCAATGAAATAATGACAGAATTTCCTCCTCCAGCAGCCCTGTCCTAGGATCGGCCCCCTCTGCACGGGCGGGCGCTGTCCCTGCTCTGTCCATGGTGCTGAACCCCTGTCCCTGCACGTTTACCTCCAATGAACTTGGCACACCTTTTTACCTCCTGTGTACTACTGAGCCCTCCTCAGGCCTGAGAACGCAGTGAGTTTTCAGGAAATGTCCTACACCCACGGAAAGCTTTTAGTCCCCATTAATAAAAACATCATCATTGATTCTTCCTGTCATTGGCTCACACTTACGGAACCTTTCCACAGGCCAGGCATCATGCCAAGGGCTCTTCGTGCCTCACCTCACTGGAGAGTTCTAGCAAATCTAGGCAGTGGGTACTATTAGTGTGTCCATTCTACAGATGGGCACACTGAGGAGTGAAGAGGATACAGGACTTTGCCAGGAAGTGGTGGTTTTAGGATGGTGGACTAGGGATGTCCTGGTTGGCACCTCACAGAGTAAGCCCATTGTATGTGGGAGGCAAGTGAGCCACTTAGGGAAGGGGCTAAGACTGCAGCCCTGAAGATGAGTCAGAGCCAACCCTGGAGAGGCATCCTATGAGTATAGTGAGAGCAAAGACCCAGATACAAACTCCCCTGGCTACATGGTATCAGAAAGAGGGCAGCCAGGGGCAGAGGGATTTGTGAAGGCTTCCTGGGAG